TAGTACACGCCCCCCAGCGGAATGGTCCGATGTTATACCGGTGCGTCCACAATAGCTCCGGTGCCTCCCCTAGTTTCAGTGCAAGGCGGGTTGGTTACCTATGTTGGCATACAGTTCGACCCAGAAGTCCTCAGATCGAACAACGAAAAAATCCTGAAGGCTATCTGTCGACCCAAACAAGTTAAACAAACAGGTAAAGTCTTTAATTCGGATACACAGCTCTGGCAGTTCAGTGCCTCGATTCATCACATTGGCTCGTCCTGTCACGATCCTTTAGAGAAGCAAGTTTTACTAGCGAAATATTTGACTCCCTACACAGCACTTTCCATTGATCAACGAAGTAGGAGGGTGAGTTATATGTTTACCGGTCCACTGTAGTAAAACAAAATTTGATTTATGAAGGAAACTACTCACATATTAGCTGGAAACTCTTCAACTCAATTTCGTACACAGGAAGAGATGTAACCTTGATCTTGGGCGAAATTGCGGACGATATTCTACGTATTCCATGGAATAATTCAAGCTAAAAATAAATCGTTCAGCTGTAGCAACTTTTCAGTGCCTAACTGCCATGTCAGCCGAATGAAGCACGAGGGCTGGGATACCACCAGGGTGCCCACCTAGACAGGAAAAGCCAAGATGCAGAGATTGGGTTCGATCCACGGACGTTGCGGTGAGTATATTTATGCTCTAGCCACTGAGCAATCTTGCCCCCATAATGTAGGATGCCACAGTTTGAATGAAAACACTATGCTTTTGCGTTACTGCTGCTGTCAGTGTCACTAATCTTCTGATCGCACTTCAAAAGAGCCCTGGGCGGAATCGAATCGCCTATCTCCCGCTGGATGTCCTGCCAGCAAGCTGCAAGGACGGGGGTTAAAGCCAAAGGTTCTTTCTACATCTTCATTTCGGAAGAGACACGTGTACATCTCTGTCAGTTAGAACGGGTGGTCCTGACCTAATCGCTTTGACTCCTCATATCTTTCGTCAGTCAATCCACTAGATACAGGTCCCCAGGTCGTTTACCCTCTCCCACTAGATTTTTTTTGAAGTTCGTCTGTGCCATATGGTCTTTTCTTTTTCGGTTCTCCACAGGATTCTACTACCCTGGTACTTGCTGATTTGAAGATTTTGTCCAGTGGGGATCCGTCACCCGGGGGATACCGTCGTCTGACTGAAATAAGTAAGCTCGTTTTGTTACGAACTCGGTAGGAATAAAATCTTTATTTACCAATATTCGGCTCTGGAGCATCTGAAACACTAGCCTTTGATGAGGAGACAACTGAAATCACGGAATGCTTCTTTGTATCCCTTTCTTGACTGGAAGCAGGGACGTCCCCCCCTAAAGCTTGTCGTTGTTGATCTCAATGTGCTCGCATGCTTCCCCGATTGTACCATGACCGATTTCTCTGTGCCTAATTCTCCTCGGTAGTTGGGTTATTGCTAATTCTCTGTGACCTCCCGTCCGACCACACCTATAGTCCTTGCTGACTTTTGTGGGTCCCCACGATATTTTCTTTTCCTGTGTTTGGTCCAGTTAGTTTGTTGGAACGCCCCTGACAAGCTGACAAGCTGGACAGAGCACTGTTAAAGCGGTTAAACCTTGTGTGGTAAACCTAGGCTCTAAAATCAACCAACTGGAACTACTTGTAACCACACCTGCCAACGCATTGGATTTCTATGGTGCATTCTTGTTTCGTTACTAACATTGTGGCAGTAGTAAAGATTTTATTCCAATTTTGCGATTCGAAGCCGAACAGCATTTTGTTGAATAGTCGCCTTCCCGTTAGAGGACCTTCCGCACTGTATAGAACCATTTCCTGTAACCCGAATTTTCTTTAGGAGGGCCTATCTGGGCCTATCCAACACATT